AGTGACTGGTTCTGTTTGAGGGTCGTTGCTACAACTTTCTGGGTACTCTGCTGGACTCCAAACCCAGCCTCCCATCTGACTGACCACCCACCAGCTCCCCCTTGGATAGCCCTCCCTAAACACTGCTGTCCTTAGGCCTCGCTCCCTGAACAGTGACCTGAGTACCTGGCCTTCCGGAGCCAGGCAAATGTTGGCATGCTGGGTGACAGCCAAGCAAGACACGGATTTCCGCAAGGCAGGATGGGGGATCCTGGGATAGCCCTGGCTCGGGCCAGCAATCATGAGCTCAGGTCCCCTAGAAACGTGGAAGTCACTGATGAGCAGTCAGGAAGACAGGCATGAGCGAGAGAGAGAGAGAGAGAGAGAGAGAGAGACCAAAAGTGACTGGGGTGATGATTGTACAACTCTTCTTGATATGATTGAACTACTGAATGATCCAAGATGTGGCCTATGTGCCAATAGAACTGATGGAGGGAAAGAGAGACTGAGGTCAAACTGGCAAGCAGGACGTCCATAAGGAGCGCCGACACTGAAGGTCCACCTGGGTTCCCATCCTGCCTCTGTCCCCTCCTAGCCTCAGTTGTCCTATCTGTAAAGTGCAACAATAGTGGTGGACAATGGGGTGTGTCCCAGCTCCTCCCTCCTCAGGGACGAAGGACTTATTTTCCAAGCCCAGGGAGGGCTGCCCGAAGGCAGAGTCGGTCACAGTCAGCCTTCTTTGGGGCTGGGCCAAAACTCACCTCCTTCCTGGAGTAGTTGCCTACAACCAATGACCGGCCACCGTGGTATGAAGGCCTGGACTCTGGTCCAATTCTGGACAACCCAGCAGGACCATCCCAACACCAGAGCCCCCTGGAGTGGGAGGTGGGGACACTGGTTGAAGCTTACATTGAAACGCATCACAGCCGACTTCATCCTTCAAAACTGCAAGTGTCTGTAGATCTTGATTGAGCCGTTCCACGTCTGAAAATCGATCCTGCGACTTGTCTCGAGTATGCAAGGTGACCTGCACACAGAGTGGCCAATCCAGACTATTTGGGGAAAAGCAAAGGCTGAAAACAAGCTAAGTGTCCATCCAATTGGTCAACACGCTACGGTGTGTCCGTTGGGCTCCTGTGCCACTGAACAGAACAAAATAACTGGCAATCAGAGAAGCAGGTGTGGCAGGAGCCCCGGTGGTGCAGTGGTTAAAGGGCTGGGCTGCTACCTGGATGGTCAGTGGTTCAAACCCACCAGCTGCTCCTCCGGAGAAAGATGAGGCTGCTGGCCTCTGTCAAGGCGGGCAGCCTTGGAAGCCCTATGGGGTGGTTCTGTCCTCTAAGTTTCCTGATAGCCACTCACTCCATGGCAGTGGGTTTGTATGGACAGCTTTCCAAGGTTTGCTGCTGTGATCTTTATTTTTGAAAAATCAAGTGTGGAAGATTTTATATAGTATTAGAGAGAGAGGCCATTCAGACCAGTTTGGGCACCCAAAATGTTTCTTTTTTTTTAACCACGAAACAATATAAAACAAAACAACAACAAACTAATGACAAAAACAAACAAACAAAACAAAACACAAGAAAGAAAACGTGTAGTTTCTGGAAGTGTAAAACCTGCATCGTTTGCCCCGCAGTTAGTTCCAGCTCACGGCGCCACCGTGCGCTGAAAATCGGAACTGCACCCACAGAGTTGGCGGCTGTGACCTTTCATCAGAACCAGAGGCTCCGCGGAACGGACTGCTAGCCCTCACCTCTGGTTAGCCGGCCAGCTCGGACCTGCTCCATCCAGGGACGCCCTCCTGCATATACTCCTGGTTCGTGGATGCCTTAGAGGTCGAGAACTGGGGGCGATTGGATAGAGCAGGGAGGGAGGGAGAGAGACTCTTTCTCATGTAAGTTTTACAGTTTTTAGAACTCAGAACGAGTACAGGTGAGTACATGCATGTTGAAGAGCCCTGGTGATGGAGGGGAACGTGTTGGGCTGTTAACTAGACAGTTGGCAGTTCTGTTGGTTTTACACAAAACAAAACGGCAAGAAGAAAATAATAATAATACGAGGATAAAAATGCAAATGAAGTGTAATAAAGAAAAGACCGCCATCAATATTAAAAAGGCCAGAGGAGAGATTTCTGCCCTGAAACAAGTGAGCAATACTTCAGTGGAGAAAAATATTCAGTTTCTGGCATTCTGTGATGCTCTCTTTCCACACAGGATCCCTGCAGTCAAAGCGGGTGCATAAGCAAATGTGGTGAAGAAAGCTGATGGTGTCCGGCTATTAGAAAATATAGCGTCTGGGGTCTTAAAGGCTTGAAGACAAACAAGCGACCATCTAGCAGGGAAGAAACAAAGCCGATATGGAAGAAACACACCAACCCGTGTGATCACGAGGTATCATCGGGATCGGGTATCAGGCATCAGAAGACCCCAAACAAACAACCATATCAATGTGAATGACGGTGGGCAAAGTGGAGACCTAAAGTCCATCTGTAGACAATTGGACATCCCTCACAGAAGGGTCACAGGAAGGGACAAGCCAGCCAGGGTGCGTGCAGTTTAGCACCGATGAAACACACAACATTCCTCTAGTTCTTTAATGTTTCCTCCTCCCGCCACCAAATCATGACCCCAGTTCTACCTTACAAATCCAGCTAGACTGGAGCATGTACACTGGTACAGATCAGGCTCTTGACACACAGAAGCCATGACAGATAAACCCCTCAGGAACAATAATGAGAGTAGCAATACCAGGAGGGGAAGGGGAAGGGGGAGGAGAAAGGAGGAATTGATCACAATGATCTACACATAACCCCCTCCCTGGAGGACTAACAACAGAAAAGTGGGTGAAGGGAGACAGATATTGGACAGTGTAGGACATGACAAAATAATAATAATTTATAAAGTATCAGGGGTTCAGGAGGGAGGGGGGAGCGGGGAGGGAGGGAGAAAAATGAAGAGCTGATACCAAGGGCTCAAGTAGAAAGAAAATGTTTTGAGAATGATGATGGCAACAAATGTGCTTGACACAATGGATGGATGGATTGTGATAAGAATTGTACCAGCCCCCAATAAAATGATTTTTTTTTTAAAGAAAAGAAAACAGAAAAATAAGCCAAAGCCAAGGAGAAATATTTGTAACTCTTAAAGGCTTGAGTGCAGAATATGTAAATAACCCCTGCCACTCACTGAGAAGATAACCTGTTTAAAAACAGTCAAAAGTTTTGAAGAGACTCCAGAAAGACACATGAATGCTAACTAAGCATATGAAAAGGTACTCAACATCATAGGCCTCTCGGAACCGAACTTCAAAGCACAATGCGATAGTTTTAAATCCACAACGATTTCTCTAATAAAGATGAGGAGGAGGCTGTGGTCAAACTGGGAACCTTCTACTCCACTGATGGGAATGGCAAATGGTACAGCCACATTGGAAGACAGTCTGTTTCTTAAATTGCTTTCTAAAAATTTACTATACAGTTTGGCATTCCCACTCCACGGTATCTGTACTAAATAAGTAAAAACACGTATCCACACAAAAACCTTGGAGCCCTAGTGGTGTGCTGGGCTGGATTACACGCTTTGGGTGGTGTAGTGGATAAGTCGTGGGGCTGCTAATCACTAAATGACAGAAGCCACCGCTGCTCCTCTGGGGAAAGATGAAGACTTGCTCTCACTTGACCAGTGTTACCACGGGCAGGGGAAAAGGGGCATTGAGTTTATGTTCATGGTGGGGGAATCATTTGGAACAGGATGTGCACTGTGGTTGTACAACACAAAGCGTATAATCACCGGCACTGAATTACACGTGTAGGAGCTGCGGGGCCAGGGAATGCTTTGCTGTGTATATTTTTGCCTCATTAGAAAAAAAATGAGGTGGCTAACAGGACAGGGAAGAACGCATTAGAATTGGATGTAGTGGAAATGGTACAACTCTTCTTGATATGACTGACTTATTGAAATGTAAGGCATGTAGAGGAAATGTTAATAAAACTGTTTTTTTTTAAAGAATACCTATCAGTCTGGGAAACACACGGGGACAGTTGGAGTCTGTCCTAAAGCGGACTCAGAATCGGCTTGGTGGCTGTTGAGTTTGACACAAAAGCTGGTCCTCAACGGTCCTCTACCAACGATCTGTCACAGGTCTAAGGTCATATGATGAAAATTAAAGAGGTCCAGTCTCGGAAACTCAGAGGGCAGTTCTACAAAGGTCGCTAGGAGTGGACATGATGCGAAAAGGGAGAGTTTTGAGACGGTCTCTAAGACGGCAAGACGTTTTCAGGCTTTCCTAAAACATTCGACGTTCCCTTACGCCTCTCGCCTCCCAGTTTCAAATCTCGTTTGGGGACTAGAATCTCGCGAGAAGTTGAGTGAACCATGAATTCTCCCAGAACCCACCGCTCTTCCTCTAACTGTAGCGGCCTGAGGTGAGTGTGTGTTTGGTGTGGAGCTCTGGCGTTCCATCCGCTGTGAATCGCCGCCATCCTGGCCTCAGTGCTGCCGTTCTCGAGATAACTGAGAGGCGAACTCCCTAAACTACTAACTCCTCTCTGGAGATGATGCTTACCGGGCAGGGAGACGAGGCGGAGCGCTCGCAATTGGGTGCCGCGCGACCTGCGTCAGCGACCTGCGAAGGGGGCACGTTGGGTGGGTATGATGGACTAGGTGGGTCTGGGGCGCTGAGACCACCCGAGTGGACGCTAGTGGTGGCGGGTCAGAGGAATTGTTGAGGATGAAGTGGGAGCGAAGCCGTGTTTCAACACCAATGGCCTCGAACGTGGCTGCGAGCTAAAAGGCCTTAAGGTGGCGCCTGTGCGGAGAGGGGCCTTGCCCGTGGGAGGGAGGCTGCAGAGGCGCTAGTTCGTTTATCCTGAGGGGCAGGGTGCTGGCTTTGGGGTCGGCCGAGGAAGCCCACCCGCGGTTTCGCAGAGGAGAGGCCGTGAGACGGCCCCGGGGTTGAACCCGACGGGGGTTGAGGCCCAGCTTCAGCCACGGCTCGATCCGGGGGTGGGGGGCCAGGGAATGCTGCGATGATGGCGCTTCTTAGGACACCTTTGGATAAACCGTGGAAACCGCCACCGCCGAGCAGCTGTGGCCAGTCCGTAGGCGTTAAGCTTCTGTCCCTTTGAATGTGCCTGACGATGGGGTTGTGCTTCCTTACAGGTGACCTGCCAAAATGGTTCGCTACTCACTCGACCCAGAAAACCCCACAAAATGTGAGTGGATGGGAGATGCCTTCTTCCTGGTTAAGGAAGGATGAGCGCCGGCTTCTAACTCCACTTTCTTCTCGTTTCAGCCTGCAAATCAAGAGGGTCGAACCTCCGGGTCCACTTCAAGGTATGGCCAGGCACACCTGTGCTCGTGCACTTTTCCAGTGGGGGTTCATGGGAGTGGAGCTGCTGTGATGACTTTCTTAGGACACCTTTGGATTAACCATGAAAATGATGACATTCTGAGCAGCTGCCAGCCATGTAGACCCAGAGCATCAGGGTATAGTGGACATCACGATTTTAACCTGTCGTTGAGCAAAAGCCACGCAATTTCATAAATCAATGTGTAGCTCAGGTTGAAGCACACTGCACTTAGTTCTGTGGGATTTTTTATATGATGGATGTCCGTAGAGTGGATTATGCCACCCAATGGTTCAAACCTACCAGCCACTTGCTCTGCTGAAAATTAAGGTTTTTTCGCTCCAGGAAAGATTGATAGCCTCGGAAAAACCACAAGGGCAGATTTATTCCACCGGTATTCCATTTTCAGGTGTTCCTGTGATGCCTTAGTATGGTGTTACAAAACATAATTGGCTGGTGTTCTACTCAGGTGTTCCATGTTATGGCTAATTTTTGCCAGGTTTCCAAAAATAAGAAAAATGTTAATAGGGAAGAATTCTTAAATGAGGTTGGCTTATGACAGGAGTCCGCCCTGTTAAGTGGAGAATGCATTTGAGGGGGAGGGTATGGTGCAAATGAAAGCTTTTTACAACTTTCCAGTGTTTGAAAATGTGCTTGAACTTTGTTGACCAAGAATGTTGAGTTATTAAGCAGTAGTTTATGTTCTTTGGACACAGAACACCCGTGAGACGGCCCAGGCCATCAAAGGCATGCACATCCGGAAAGCCACCAAATACCTGAAAGACGTGACTGTGCAGAAGCAGTGTGTGCCTTTCCGACGCTACAAGGGTGGTGTTGGTCGGTGTGCCCAGGTAAGAGTCCGGTAAAGAAAGTTGGTTTAAGAATGACCCGTCTCTGGGTTGCAGTGATGACCATCTTAGGACACCTTTGGAATAACCATGAAAACACAATTATATTCTGAGCAACCTTCATGCTTGGCAGCATAATTCATCTTGGTGATGGTACTGACTTAAGTTGGAGAAAATAACTTAATCACCTTTGCTTTTTTTACCCCCAGGCCAAACAGTGGGGTTGGACCCAGGGTCGGTGGCCCAAAAAGAGTGCTGAATTTTTGCTTCACATGCTTAAAAATGCAGAAAGCAATGCTGAACTGAAGGTAACCAAACTTAATGGCATTCATGTATGCAACTGAATAGGTGGTTGAATTGTGTTGCTGTTGTCTGGATTTATTACTTTAAATTGTTTTGCTCTTGGAATGGTGAAAATTGGCTCAATGGCACTGAGTTTGGTAGAATGTTTTCAGGTAAAAATGATTAAAGGGATATAATTACAGAGCAAATGGATCTCTAGTCTCGCATATTAGTGTCTGAGTAATGAAAGCAAACAAGAAACCATGCTATTTGGTTTCTTAGCTTATGCTTTGAAAACTAAGGCTGGCAGGGCTTTGGAGGTGAGGTGGAATCTTACAATTACTCAGTTTTCTGTGTTGTTATTATTAGATTGTTAAATGGTGTGGGTTTGTTTTTCCCTGTACCCTTCCCAGGGTTTAGATGTGGATTCTCTGGTCATTGAGCACATCCAGGTGAACAAAGCTCCCAAGATGCGCCGCCGGACTTACAGAGCTCATGGTCGGATCAACCCATACATGAGCTCCCCCTGCCACATTGAAATGATCCTGACCGAGAAGGAACAGATCGTTCCCAAACCGGAAGAGGAGGTCGCACAGAAGAAAAAGGTAACTGGCTGGGCTGCTCAGTTGCCATGGTTTCATGGTGGGAAGGTTTGTGGTTGCTATGATGACTCTTAGGACACCTTTGAATGCCATGAAAAGCAAATAAACTCTGAGCAACTTCATTCGCTGTTCTTATAGTGGTGTTTGTGGATCACATTGTTGACACTGGGGAGTAAATTTATAGTGAGGAAGGCTGCCATTTGCTGGTGGCCTCACCTGGATATCCACCACATACCAGCCTGGATTTAGCCCATAGTCCAGTAAGCCAGGAATCTGGACTCTTCCCCTTGACTGTTCTCCGAGTGTGATGACATTCGTGCTGTGTGGCTGGTTGAGCTGGATGCTTTGTTTTGTTTTTGATTGTTGGGGCTCTGGTGTTAGCGATAGAGTTAGCAGGCAGTCAAGGTGCGCACCCCACCCCCCAGTGCTCCAAGGGAGAAAAATGGAGGTAGACTGCTCCCCAAAGGAGTTGCTTTGGAAACTATATAGGGTTGCCATGGTCTTCTGTCTTGGCATAAATGTGGGATCTCATTCTTAATGTTATTTTTTTGGCTACAATTCCAGGTTGGGGTTTCCAACTTGAATGGGTTCAATTGGTTTGGTATTTTTTATTAATGTATTTAGTATTGGCCTGTGGATAAATAACCTAGCAGTTAAGCTTGGTGGGAAATGTATCCTGGATTCCAAATGCCAAGTACTAACCTAAACATGTTAATGGGTAAAATGCAATTACGGACCCTTTTTCTTTCTTCCCCTCAGATTTCCCAGAAGAAACTGAAGAAGCAAAAACTCATGGCTCGGGAATAAATTAATCTTAAAATAATAAAAAATAAAAGTTAAAGCAGTATGTGGTTGCCTTTTTATTCTTTAACTGTGTTTCAAGCATTAATCACAAAATATCATTTAACCATGCCAGCGCTTAGAAACATTGGCTTTTCTGCATGCCCTGTGATGTAACTAAAATTTTATTTAAGAACAATGCATAGTTGCATCTCTTTCTAGCTGCTTGTTATTGTAGGATAATGGGTGTGCCCTGTTTCCCGGTTGATAAGCATTTGTATGGTTTTTTTTCTTTTAATAAATGCCTAGTAGTGGAATCCTTAAATGGCAGTTGAATTCAACTAGTAGACTTCATTCACACCAGTTAGTTCCCTTCTAGCCAGCACGTGAATGCTGAGTGGTGTAAACCAATAGTCAACCCAGTTTAAGGTTAACCAGTTCCCTAATACACCGGTGGTGTCCGTTCATGGGAGCTCCAGTGCGTGGTGGGGTAAGCAGATTCCAGTACCAGCGCCGCCTCTGGAGAGGGCCTTCTGCGGGGGCTGCCCAGACACCGGGGCTGCGGCCGCAAAATCGACCGACCCTGTGCGGGGAGCCCGCTCGGCTTCCCGGCCGCGGTTTATCCACACCAGCGTCTGCAAACCGGCTGGGGACGGCTCTTCCGGTAGCGCCAGGTGGCTTCCGGCCACAAGTTAACGCAGCGCCGGAAGTGCAGCCCTGCGCGAGGCCGTCAGACGTACGCCACCTCACGCTGACGCAGGCGCGCCTTTGTCCGCCCCCTTTGGAGGAGCCCATTGGCTCCGCCGTCGGTCGCCCCTCCTGCCGGAAGTGCAGACATTTCCACTGGCTTCGTGAACGCGGTGAGCAGGGCTGGGGCTGGGCCGGGGCGGGAGGGCTTGAGCTCGGCCTTCCTGCCGGCTGCCCCGACGCTAGCCTCGCCCTCGGGCGCTGGCCCTTCCCTGCCTGCCCTCCTGGTCTCCATTGCGCCGCCCCTTGCCTTCGTGTGCTTGTCTGTCTCGCCTGCTCCCGTCTTGCGCCCACAGCCGCTCACCTTTGGTCTCCAGTTAAGTGAGGGGCTGCCCCGGGCTGCTTAGAGGGAGGTGGCCTGCGTCCACCGAACCGGTTCGGTTTCTGTTGGAGTCAGCCTTTCCCTCCCTGGTCCGTTGTTGGCTTAGATTACGCCGCAGGAAGGAGATCGCTCGCCTCCAGTTTCAGATGTATTGTTTGCTTCGTTGTAACGTGCGGAGGTAAATCAGTCTCTCCCGAGCAACCCCGTAGATTTCTCTCAGCCACAGTTTCCACGTCTTAAAGTAGAAGGAAGGGTATAAGTTTCATTTATAAAAGCCTCGATTTTGACTCAGTTCGTTTCGTGGTTACGTGCGTTGGGTCATTCAGACTCGTAGCAAACCTATGTACAACAGAACGAAACGGCCCCTGTGCTGCGCCATCCTCACAGTTGTTCTTGAGCTTGAAGCCCACTGTTGCAGCCACTCTGTCCAACCCTGGCGTGGAGGGCTTTCCCCTCTTCTGTTGCCCCTCCACTTCACCAAGCATCATGTCCTCCAGGAGCCGCTCTCTCCCGATAACAGGTCCAAAGTACACGCGTCTCCCCGCCCCTGCCTCTAAGGAGCATTCTGGCTGTACTTCTTCCAGGACAGGTTTGATTGTCCTTTGGCAGCCCGGGGAACTATCACGATCCTCCAGCGCCGTGATTCACATCTATTCTTTGGACATCCTTATTCAATGTCCAACTTTCACATGCATATGTGTTCTTGGGTATTAGACAATGTATTTTAGCTCATTAAAATCTAAAATATATATAAAATATAAAAGAACAGTTCCAATTACAAAGGCCAAATGCTAATCTTGGAGCTCTTGCCAACCGTCTAGTAAGTGTTTATATGTAACATTATCAGTTGTCTTGAAGGTTACTTTTAGGGGTTACCAGGGGCATACATAACAGGTTAATTGGAAGAGGACAAAGAAAGAGCATTAAGCTAGGAACCCAGAAATGGGAAATCCTTTTTCCTGTAAACCTGGACAGGTTTGGGCCCCCCTCACACATTCATTGACATAGCTCCTTCTTGCTGTTAGCTGAGCTCAGGCGGTTGTGATCCATCAGGTTTTTGTGGTCTGATTGTTCTGAAGTAGCTTGCTGGCCTTTTGACGATTTGCAGTGCCATTGTGCATTTTGTCTTCACACTGATGTATCGGGCCCTCACCACTGGGAGTTCTAGGAGCGCCCTCCGTGCTCTGCTGCCTGCTGAAAGATCAGCCTCTCAGAGGGAGAAAGACTGGACAGTGCCTCCATAAAGATTCAATCAAAACCCAGACCCACTGCCATCTGGAACAGAGTCAATTCCAAGACTGACTCTTCACCAGAGCACACAGCCTCATCTTTCTCCCTCCAAGCAGCTGGTGAGCTTGAACCGTGGACTTTGTGGTTAACAGCCCAAGCCTAACATACCACCTTTAGGACTCCTTTTTGTAAATATTCCAGCCTTGGAAACCTCTTGGGGCCATTCTCTGCCCTATAGGAGCCCCGGTGGAGTAATGGTTACATGTTGGGCTGCTAACCTCACGGTCAGCAGTTTGAAACCAATAGCTGCTCCTCAGGAGAAAGACGAGCCTCAAAAGACTTAACAGTCTCAAAGCTCACAGGGGACAAGTTCTCCGCTGTCCTATGGGGTTGCTGTGAGTCAGAATGACCTGAAGTGGTGAGTTGGGTTTCGATCTCTAGGTCAATATAAATAGCAGTGGCACAGTGTCAGATACTGAAAAAGCTCATGAATGGCAACAGAACGTTGTATGCACTGACACAGTGGCTGCAACAATGGGCTCCGCTCTAACAGTTGTGAGGATGCCACAGGACTGGGTGGTGGTTCATGCTGCTGTGCCCTGAGTCGCTATGAGTCAGAACTGAGCCACCGCCTGACTCCCTGACCTTGCACACGGCAACTTTGTCCCTAATAGGCACCCTTTTTCACTCACAGTATGTTCTACCTGTTTCCCTCACGGTAGTAATCCTTTGCAGCAGGCAGGCCTTGCAACTACTTAATTCTCTGTCATTTCCTGCCAGCATGAACTTGTGATCAGGTCTTTCTTCCCCCCACAGACTACCGGGACAATGGTGTGTATTCCATGTATCGTCATTCCAGTCTTCCTCTGGGTCTACAAAAAATTCCTGGAGCCTTACTTATACCCTCTGGTCGCCCCGTTTGTCAGTCGTCTATGGCCCAAAAAAGGTGTCCAAGAAGCTGGCGCTCAAAATAAAAGCAAAGGTGACTACAAGGTAAGAGCATTCAAATGGGTTGATTCAGGAATGCGACTGGGCAAAACCCTTAACTGGTCAGCTGTTTGGAAAGGCAGGGTTTGGGGCTGGGCGTGTACGCCCGCGGTGTGTCTTCATTTCTTTCTTTCTGTGCAAGAGGATGTTTGGCTGGGCTTTGGAGTCATTCACCTGTGCTGTCCCCAAAGGTTTTAAACGAAGACCTCTGGTTCATGTGGTTCGCTACTAAGGACCAAAGTGAGCCTCAGATCTTCATGGTGGTTGAGAGTAGTGATAACCGCGAGTGGGTGGAAAGATGATACTGTTAGTTCCCAGGTTTGATAACTTTTGGTAGCAAATTGGAAGAGTTAAGATCTTTTTGAAGTAAATATGTAGACATCTCTGTCGTGTTTACCATTTGTGTGTGTTAAAATTGAGTCGACTGTTGCCTCCCAACCACCAATTTAACAATCCTGCCCATTTCCTTCTGGAGGGGCCTCCCACGACCATTGATTCCATTCCGACTCATGGAAACCCTACCGGACAGGCTAGAACTGGCCCTTTGAGCTTCTGAGGCTGTCAATTCTATGGAAACAGAAAGCCTCACCTCCCTTCCTTGGAGCCGCTGGTGGGTTTGAACTGCTACCTTGTGGTGAGCAGCCCAGCACTAACCACAGCACTCTCTGAAGGGGCAGGTGGTGGTTGAATGGTAGCACCCTCACCCCAAATGTGTGAGCCCAGCTTTCCCCCTCAGACACAGCCCCTTGCATGTTGCCACGGTGTGAAACAGGCTTCAGCCCGGGCTTCCCCACCACGACGGCCTACAAAGAGAGGCCTGGCGATCTGGCTCCAGATCAGTCACAACAGTCTAGTCTGCAGCCGGTTGTGGGGACACTGCCGGCATGGGCCGCGCGGTCACCTGGTGTTGAGCGGGCCGGGAGGGGCCGCTCTGGTGGAGCATGACATCTCACCAGCTGCTTCTGGACTGAGGTCAGAGCCTGTGCCCCACGGGTGTCTGACAGCCACCCTGGCTAAGTTGTGTTTTTCTTAATTTTGTCATTTTAGGGTGCAGACATGAATGGATTCCCAACAAAAGAAACAACAGAAAGCTCGGCTAAAAAGAAAGACTAAAGCGGCCCTTCTCCAGAGCGCTCATTGCTTTAAAAATGGACCTGACAATATGAAGCACCTTTGTCATTGTCTCTGACCTTTTTCTCCGAAGCAGAGTTCTTGATAGTAGCTGTTTCCCTGATAGGTGAATCAAAAAATGCCTAGTATTTATATTTAAAATGTATTTAATCACACTCACTGACCTCATTTCTGAGTCCCTCCTGTCACTGAACGCAACTCTCCTTTTCACGATTGCAGTTGGAAGCCTATGAGTTCATAGGCGGCCAAGTCAGTAGGCTGTCCCTAACTCCGTACTTCACGCCCTGCGAGGGCCGCTGGCAGTCATTCTCCTGGGTCTGCCTGCGGTTTGCTCTCGTGACTGTAGGCTCTTCACTCTTGAATGGGGGCAGTTCTACTGAGGCTGTGCGGGAAAGGGAGGAGTGGCTTGGCGGCCATTGATGGCTTGAAACACGGAGATCATTACCGCCCGGCACAGTGGAGCCCCTTCTCGGTGAGAGTAGTCAGTACCATGTCTAGTTCTGAGGAGGGTAGACAGGGTAGGCAAGTACGGAGAACTCCTTTGGAAAATGTAACATCTTTTGCAGAGATGCCAACTGTATGTTATAAAATTCTAATCCTTCCTGCATTCCTTCTACTTCCATAAATGTAATAAATATTCAGTTTACCTTGTGGTTCCTTTTTCTCTGAAAGTCTCTCCAAGTCGGTAAAAGGGAACTTTTTGGCAACGCATCAGAATCGGAGTGTCAGGGGACTTGGAGGGGTGGGACAGCTGTATGTTTTGTGTTGAAGAGTAAATCGGACGTGTCACCCTGTTAGGTGTTGTGGCATAGCCTCATGCTCCAAAATCCAGTGGTGGTCAGCAGTGGCCAGTTCCCTGGGTTGACTGGGCACTTCTGTGCTGGCTGGACACAGCTGGGGGCCTGGGCCGCTTCAGGGAGGGATCTGTAACTGCTGGCAGACTGTCTTCTCTTTCCTCTGAAGCAGGGAGGAGTCCGAGGGGCCTGCTGCCCTTGGGCCCCAGTGACAGGCAGCATGGTAGCAGAGGAAGGGTCTGCAGTCCAGTGACAGGCAGCATGGTAGCAGAGGAAGGGTCTGCAGTCCCTGGAACAGGCACCGCGTCAGAGGTCTTGAGCCCTGGGGCTCTGCTAGAAGCTGGGTGTCTGGACTGGGTGCAGATCTGCACCGGCTCATCTGGATGCGGTGTGTCATTTGGCTTGTAAAGTTGAACAACTAAACACAGCACGTTCCTGGCCAAACAGTGCATGTTGGATGGAAAGTTGCTGTTCTTTCCCATGCTTTTATTCCGACTCTACAGCTTGCCCCTTTTTGTGTAGCCATTTCTTAAAAAGGATTTGTTTTCATTAAATACGCAAATGGTTTCTTTACACTCAAAATACTGCAGGGTTAATAATGTCCCCAATCGCCTAGTCCCCGGATGAGCTCGTCTGGCTGTTTGGTCATGTATAGATGTCTATAATGTCGATAAATGCGATCTCTGTTTCTCTGTTGAGTGATTGATGCGGCATTGCTGACTTCTTCCCGTTGAGATAGTTGACACTCATCTCCACTTGACCTCCCACAGCTCCTGCCATTGTCATCGGTCTCTCAGTCCCTGTGAGTGGGCCAGGTGCCTTCTACGGGACCCGCCATGTCTACTCTGCCTCCTGCTCGGCTTTTCATCCCAAGAGAGCTATGTGGGTGATCTCAACAGGCTTCCCATGCCCTCTGGGTCCCTTTGGGTGGGGTCAGCGGGGACTGGGTAGAAAGAGAGTGAGGTCAAAGTATTCCATCCATCGTCTCCTATCAACACCTCAACCACGAGTATTTGCACCTTTTCCAAACCCACTTGCCCCTTTCCGCTTCTAGCCCTTCCGTTGTTTGGAAGATGCCATCTGCTTCCTTCTGGGACTGAGCCAGAAAGTAAGAGTGTGCATGTTGTTCATGGAGAAGAGCATGAGCCTGGAATGAAACTGAGCTGCCTTTTATATACAAGTGTTGTTTTTTCCTGGAGTTCTGATTACTTCTCCCCACATGCTTTTCCTGCCTTGGCAGGTTGATGCCTCAGCCCGGTGCACCACTGTGGTCTTTGGCACTGACTGATGGTAATCTAGACCACTGAGTTGATTGTCTTTTGTATACAAGGAACGTTTTTCTTTAAGGAAAGGACTTTAATGCAGATGAAGTTTTGAGATGGTGCTAACCAGTAGGTGGGGGGTGGGAAGGGGATTCCCCAGAGGAATCTCAAAAGAAGGCCCTGGTGAGCTGCTTTAAGAAAAAACTCAGCCATTGAAGCCCTATGAACACATCTGTGGTCGGGGGCTTCTACTAGTCATTTTTATCATTTAGACAGTGTCCACACTGGCCACCTGGTTGTCACAAAGGTGCCAAGTCCGTCTCAGAGGAAAAGCGTCTTCACTAAGTGGTCCTGGGAAATTAGATCCCCACATGCAGAAAAGGAAGCATGATCCATGCCTCACACGGTCTACTTTTTTCTTTTTAATTTTAAATCCATTAAGAACCTTAATATGGAAACAAAGTATAAAATTCTTAGAAGAAAAAGGAAAGGCCACTTGGTCAGGCCTGCCTTTCACAGTGGAGGTTCTCCTCCGGCAAAGGCATACACAGCTAGAAATAGCTGGGATGTCATGAAAATGAAAAACCTGTTCACCGAAAGACATCACCACCGCCCAAAAGAGTAAGACGAGGTCCTGGATGGAAGAATATCTTGGGAAACCATATATCTGATTAAGAATCTAATAACTAGAATACAAGCATACAAAACTTCAACTTAAAAACAAAAAGCCCAATGAGTGAAGGGGGTGGGGGGCGGTGGGGAATGGACGAAGGACTTGAATAGACGTTTCACCAGGGAGGACATTCCAATGGTCCCCAAATACTTGAAAAAGAAGCTGGGTACCAGGAGGCATCAGAGAGACACAAATGCACAGGGAGAGCATTTCACTCCCACTGGGATGGCTAAGGTTCAGAATAAATCCTTTCAAGGATGTGCAGAAATGGGGGCCCCTATCCATGGGTGATGAGGATGCAAGGTGGTACTGATGCTACGATAAACTAGGTGGCAGTTGCTCAAAAAGTTAAATGGAAATATCATGACCAGCAATTCCACCACTAGGCTCATACCCCAGTGTGTGGGTCATGGTGGACTAGCGAAACAAATTCATAGAAACTCATGTGTATAAGAAAGAGCTATATATAAAAGAGCCATTGCATATTGAGAAAATATCCCAGCCAGTCCAGATATGTCCAGTGCCGGTCCAAATATTCCTCTTCAAACTCACATCACATGCAATGGAAGATCACAGGCCAGTGGGTGGAAAGTCTTGTGGATCCAGTGTCTGTGGAAGCAGCTCAGCACTGGCGTTGGGTCTCCACATGGCTCCTCCAGCTCCAGGTCTCTGGCTCCATCAGCATAGCTCCTTGTGGCTTGTCAGCAGGAAGGTGTTGCAAGGAGAGTCTGTCTGTCTGGCCTCCAAATGAGGTCATCAACCTGCGACCTGATTGACAGGCTAGGCACCACCCCTTCGCTCACGTTGACAGGAGATTATGAAACTCCAATAGTGACTTTTACACCAGTGTTCACTGGAGCGCGGTTTGCAGTCTCAAGAAGAGGAAACCGTAAACGCCACCACAAATGAAGGAACGTCAGGAGGGAATTGTGTGCACGGTATTACCTCGATCTCCCTAAGTGCTGTTTTCTTCATAACAGTTTTTTCTATTTTCATTGTATTTCAGAGCATCATGGCCACACAAAAATTACCCGTAGGCCCCCAGTTTGACACCCCTGCCCTATGCAGTGTATCGCTTGATGGCTTGACTGCTGCTTCCATGAGCACAGATTGTGGGTCCAGGCAAGACAGAATCCTCGACAACTTAAAATCTTTTCTCCATTTGTCATTAAGTTATCCTTGGCCCATTTCTGAGGATTTTAGTCTAATTTATAATGAGTTGTAATCCACACTGAAGGCTTCAATCTTTGCTCGTCGTCAGCAAGTGCTTTAAGTCCTCTTCACTTTCAATAAGCAAGGTTGTGTCATCTGCATATTGCAGAGTCTTAATAAGCCTTCCACCCATTTTTGTTGCGGCTTTTTTTTTCTCTTAACCCGGGGCTTTTGTTTTTTTGTTGGGCAAAAGGTTGGATTAAAATTGTTGGGAGGTTCCGGCTTGGCTTCCCCCTTTTCTTGTTTTTTTAAAAATCATTTTATTGGGGGCTCATACAGCTCTTATCACAATCCATATATCCATCCATTGTGTCAATCACATTTGTACATTTGTTCCCATCATTTTCAAAACATTTTCTTTCCACTTGAACCCTTGGTATCAGCTCCTCATTTCCCCCCCTCCACCCTCTCTCCCTCCCTCCTGAACCCTTGATAATTTGTAAATTATTATTTTTTCATGTCTTACAGTGACCGATGTCTCCCTTCACCCACTTTTCTGTTGTCTGTCCCCCTGGGAGGGGTTTATATGTAGATCATTATGATCTGTTCCCCCTTTCTCCCCCCACCTTCCCCTTCCCCTCCTGGTATTGCTACTCTCATTATTGGTCCTGAGAGGTTTATCTGTCCTGGATTCCTTGCCACATTTCCTGATTTTAAACCATGCAGTAGTGTCTTACTGTGTGCACACATCTGCCTCTTGATCCGTGTCAAAGTTCTGCGTGAGCACAATTAGGTGTTGGGAATTCCCATTCTTCTTAAGGCTACTCATAGTCTGTTAGGATCTATACAGTTGAATGCCTTCGTCAATAAAACACAAGTAAACAACTTTTTGGTATTCTTTCCTTTCGGATATCTCTTGTTCCACGTCCTCTTCTGAATCTGGGCTGAACCAGTGGCAGCTTCCTATCAATGTACTGCAACCGTTGTTGGATGCTCTTCAGCAAAATTTAACTTGCATTTGATATTCTATAATTTGAGCATTCTGTTGGGTCACACATGTGGACCGCTTTCAGTCAAGTGGCCAAGTAGCTGTCTTCCAAATGTCCTGGCAGAGACAAGTAAGTGCTTCCTCAGCTTGTTGAAGTACTTCAATTGGTATTCCAGTAATTCTTGGAGCCTTATTTTTGGAAATGCTTCCAGTGCATCTTGGACTTCGTCCTTCAGTACCATTGATTTTTTTCTCATATGCTATCTCCTGAGAGGTGAAGTGCTTCCTGCGTCATTCAATATTTTGCCCATAGAATCTTTCAGGATAGCAAGTTAAGGCTTGAATTTCTTTCTTCAGTTCTTTGTTTCAGATGTGCTGAGCATGTTCTTCCTTTTGGGTTTTCTAACTCCAGGTCTTTGCACATTTCATTATAATAGTTTTACTTTGCCTTCTTGAGCTGTCCTTTGGAGTTTTCTCTTCAGCAATTTGATATTAATGGGATTGTTAATATTTCTTCCTTTTGCCTTAGCTACTCCGCACAATCTCAGAACCCCTGGTGAGTTCTACCCTGTCCTGTTTGGTCACTGTGAGTGTTATCTAATTGATGGAAGTGAGACTCTATGATGAAGAGCCAGTTTCAGAGTCTCTCTTGACATCGGCTTTGATCCTGTCCTTCTTTCTTGGCTTTGTGATGACCTTTTGCCTTCTTCATGATGATGTTCTTGACGTTCTCCCACAGTACATCAGGTCTTCCGTCAGCAGCAAAGATGTTCAGGT